AATTTTCGGAACTACTGTAAGAGACTCTCAATAACATCAATGACAGAGAATCTACACTTCACAGCAGTAAAGATTAGTAATCTTTACTGGAGCAGCATATCTGTGTCTGTAAGGAAGTGTCCTTCCAGCTTACAGGCACAGGATTCTCAACAGAGAGAGATCATAAGGAATTGCAAAGTTTAAATTCCGAGCAGAGATGTTAAAAGGCACGTTGCTCCTTATGTACCTTCAAAGACAGATTTCCACTATTACTCTTATATCTCTAGTACATGGCCCTGGTGTTTGAGTATAGCTTTGCCTTTAGGACAGGCTTCCTAGCATTATGAGGGTAAGACTTCTCATCATTGGACTGATATGTGGCAGGCTTGAGGCTAGAATTAGTGTGTGTAATTATACAGCTCTTGTCTGCTGATAGAATTCTGCTCTGAAGGGTACTGCCTTACTATTGCAATGGACTATTTCTGCAGTCAGCTGGATTTCTTTCCAGGATAGGACCTGCCTTCAGTAATGTGACAGATGAGCTATATTTATCAGATTAAAAATCAAGCTTCCAACTATGATTAATTTGACTACTGCCGGTCAGCATAATCCAATAAAAATACAGCTCTGAGAGCATTTCTCAAAATATTCAACACTCAAAAGTTACCAGCAGTGAACTCTATCCTGCAGGCTGCACATAAATTTCCGTCACTTCCATTCCGTTTTCACAAGCTCATAACTTTCTAGGACATTTATCTTTTGGGCTGAAAATGTCCATTCTCTGTTCATTGTTTAAGGAAAGAAACCCTGCCAATGGATTTTTTTTAAAATCAGGGTCAGATCACGGATGGCTGCAGTGTGAACTGTAAGCTCTTTGGGGGCCTGGGCAGCTTTTTCTGTGTTTGCACAGCAGCTAACGCAATGGGGCCCTGGACTAGGACTGTGGTCCTTGGCACTATTGCAATACAAAGAAAAGCTGCTCCGGACACAATCTGTAACAAGCAGTGTGTGCACTGGTAGGCTTGAGGGTAGGAGAAAATGTGAAAATAAAGCAGCATTGGATTGAAAATTGCTTCTGGACTAGGCTCAGCGTTTTAGCAGAATTCGTTAAATCCCCATTAAATATTCTTCCATGCAGCATGAGAGGCACAGCATCTGCTCCTCTCGGATCACTGCGGAGACAGCTTTAATGGGAGTGATTGTAAATATCTCATTAAAACGTGCAGCCAAATTGTCCCCATGAGCTCCCATAACATTGCAGACGAATAAACTGAGGGGAAATTTTGAATCCTGCTACTTTTAGGTGTGGCGGCAAGATTCTGTATATTCTAAGATTTCTTTTTAAAAAATACCCCGCTCTCAAACCCTCCCCCCCCATGTCTCCTTTTTCTGTTGCAGAGGGTACAACTCTCACAGTGTAATCCGCTGTGCTGCTGCTGTTAGTTCAGCCTTGCAGAAACTCTTCTCTAGCAGCTGGGAACTCCCCTACTGCATCCACTTCAGTGGGGCCTAGACATCAAAATCTAAGCGGGGAACCACTTAATAACCTTATTAGGCACAGAAAATATTTTCTCAAATCATTAGGAAATTATATAAAAATCCCTCTGCTAATGCTAGTGCTGAGCATAGGCCATTCCTTAATGCCAGAAGGAATCCGCTGATGTTATAAATGTTTTGCACTCTGACACCAGCACCAGCCAGTTACTTAACTCTAAAAATCCCACTGCCAGACCCTGAGGGAGTCTCGGGGGTGGGCTCTGTCACATCATATCCCAGATCATAGGCAGTGGAATCACCCACTGCTGCAAAGTTCCCAAATGGATCCTCACAGGCTTCAGTCCCCACAACTGGCTTTTAGAAAACATTTGATGGTGTAGTGTAACACCGACAGACCCCAGTCGTCGGCGGGTGGGATTGAACCTGGGACCTCGGGAGCTAAATACATGAGCCTCTACTGCATGAGCTAAAAGCCATCTGCCCCTTACCTAAGGCTGTAGAGCAGACTCATTAATCTCTAAGGGTACGTCTATACTACCCATTGGAACAGTGGGTAGTGATTGATCTATCGGGGATTGATTTATTGCATCTAGTGTAGACGCGATAAAATCAATCCCCGATCGCTCTGCCATCAACTCCGGAACTCCAGCTCGCAAGAGGCGGAAGCAGAGTCGACGGGGGAGCAGCAGTGGTCGACTTGCCGCTGTCCTCACGACCAGGTAAATCGACCTAAGATACGCAACTTCAACTACTTGAATAGCATAGCTGAAGTTGGCGTATCTTAGGTCGACCCCGTCCCCTCCCAGTGTAGACCTAGCCTAAGTGGTCTTGGTGCCACTAGAGGGGATAGAGCTCCACACCCAAGAGGTGTGTGGGTTACAGTAGCTCATATCTTCTCCTATCTAGTTGTCCTTGCACTAGTCCCAGAGATCCTACTGCTGAGTTTGGTGTAATGCCAGCCCATATGGCTACCACCGGAAAAAGCCCATGAAAAAATTGCTCACAAATCTCGTAAACTACCAGGTCTGAATAAGGACTTTAAAGTCACTTTTGGTGGCCCTGCCCTGGGAATTGCAATTGACTCTTAATGTGGCCAGATTGACAATATTTGGGTGCACGATGGTACACAAGGCAGATGTTTTGCAGAACACTATGAAAGGGTGTAGGGGTTTTTATGTATATATTTAATTAGCGGCTGTGAATGTAAAGCCCCATGAGCTACCATGGATTGTCCAGGATTGGGGTAGTGCAAGTCCTCCTGACCCCCAAAGAAGATTTGCCTTTTTCCCCCAACTCAAGATCCTCCCAGGCCATGTTTAACTGTTGACCTGAAAGTCAGCCACTTGTGGGGAGAAACTTAATGATACTCACATTAATAACTGAATTTTGGATCTAAGTCAGAATATTAACTACAAAGTCCTACCAATAAATTACAAGAATGAAATTCAGTATTGTTGTAGAATCATAGAATAGAATAATAGAATCATAGAATATCAGGGTTGGAAGGGACCTCAGGAGGTCATCTAGTCCAACCCCCTGCTCAAAGCAGGACCAATCCCCAACTAAATCATCCAGTCGTGTTGGTTCCAGGTTATTAGAAAGAAAAGGTGGGTGAGGTAATATCTTTTATTGGACCAACTTCTGTTGATGAGAGAGACAAGTTTTGAGCTTACATAGAGCACTCCTTCAGGTCTGGGAAATCTGTCCCACTTTGCTTTTAGCTGTGATGCTTGGAGCACGTTTCCTAGACCTGAAGACAAGCTCAGTGTAACTCGAAAGCTTGTCTCTCTCATCAACAAAAGTTGGTCCAATAAAAGATATTCCCTCACCCACCTTGTCTCTCTAAGAATGAAATTCTTCATTTAAACTGAGCCTCCAGGATGAAATTATGCGGAAACACCAACACTGGAGCCTGAGTGATTCAGTTCTAACCCTTGGTGCCTCTTACAAGAAATTAGGCTGCCTATCTCTGTTCACGGGGAGGAGCTCTCTACTGCCTGTGCCTCCCTCCTGTTTGATGTTGTTACTTTGCACCACTCTGAACTCATAACGAAGGAACCTTTATGCTTAAGGTCTTCTGCTCAGATCAGAAGCCACTACATCTGTCATGTGATAGCATTATCCTCATTATTATTATTTATTATTGTTAAGTACCAGTGATGTGTCCAGCATTTGTACCAGACACAAAAATGAAGTCAGTCCCTTCCCTTGGGGGGGCGGGGTGGTGGTGTCACTCTAAAACACAGACTCAGAGGAGACAGGATGCACTAAGAGACCAGAGAGGGAGTTAAGTTACAGTTTAATGAGTTATTCTGAATGACTACTTTCTGCAGTGTGACATGGTGATAGAGAGGTGTTCTGGGATGATTAGGGTTTGTGGACATTGTGGTCTTTAGGAAGGATCTGAATGGGAAGGAAGTGGAGACCCGGTGTCCTGGGATATAGAGGTGTCCCATGCACAGTGGGCAGCATGGAAATCGCACAGAGACAGGAATGGCAGAAGTCAACAAGTGGAGCATTAAGGCTATGTTAACTGATGGACTGAAGGGGGGATGCAGGCGGGGTGGGGGGGAGAGAAGAAAGACATACGGCTCAACACTTTGATGACGTGGTTCCAGATCTGCTGCAGCTTTTACATGTGATCTGATAGAGCACTAGCTGGACAGCTAAAATACTGTACACTGGCAAACATTTCATTACATTGCAATAGTCCAGCTCATTGGATTTCTCATATTACATGCCCAAGAGGTTTCTTGAGCAATAAGAATTTGTGTATGCCCAAACTAGCACATTCAAGATCAGAGAGATTTAAGGAGCCACTGTTTTTTAATTCTGACGCTAGTGCTTTTATCTCCTTGTTAGTTGTGTTTGTTCTCTTTGCTGCCTGGCTTGGCAGTGGTGCAGAATGCCGATGAGTCAGGATGGATGAACTTCCAGGCTAGCATAAATTCTGTGGGTTTCAGGTTTGTTTTTAATATCTGTGGATTTGGGAGGCTAGATTGCTCAGTGGACAAGCAGTAGGATTTTGACAGTTAACTTGACTTGTATGTGGGACCGAAACATTTTTAACAGATGGCCCTGTGTTATTTCTATAACTCAGCATTGGGCTCTAGGAAGCTTTAAACTGAAGTGAGCATTAAAGGTGGTAAACTCCCCACCCAAAACTCTAGGGCCACTTTATAGGGCTCCATAGCCCTGGGAGAAAGTGGCCACTCTCTATAGGATTCTCTTTCTCTCCAAAGCTACAGGGAAAAGCAACACAAATTACAATAGCTAGGCTCCCGTGACTTGCATGGCTTCTGCTGTCATCCTTGGAACTCCCCCCACTCCCTACTCCCATGATTCAGGAGGCAAGTGACTCTCATGGGAACTCTCTGGTGGCAGGCCTCCCTTAGGAACCATTCGATGCTGGGGCAGGAGGGAGGTGAGTGGGCGGGTGCATGTGGTGCAAAGGCCAGGGGCTCTATGTATACACTGTACATAGAAAGCTGCCTTACAAAATATACAAAACGCATTAAACATACCTGTCACATGGAATGGATCAATATTTTTGAGTGTCAGTCTGTCTAGTGGAATGGGCTGGTCCAGGACTGTACAAGAACCACCATCTTTTACCAAAGACTGCAGCTCAGGAGAAAAGGAAGGGCATACAGGTATTAAACCAACGTCTGAGCCCCCGTATTTCTGAAAATGGGAAGGGAAAGCACTTGATTATATAGTCACCAAACTCCTCTGTATGTTTTCAAACTCTAGCCACTATACATCTCTCAAAACTTGTTTTCCCCGCAGAATGTGCTTAGAGGCCTCATGTATATACTCAAGTATCCAGGGGCGGCTCCAGGCACCAGCGCAGCAAGCGTGTGCCTGGGGCGGCAAGCCACGGGGGGCCGCGTGCCGGTCGCCGTGAGGGCGGCACTCAGGCAGCCTTCGGCGGCATGCCTGCAGGAGATCAGCCGGTCCCACGGCTTCGGTGGCAATTCGGCGGCGGGTACGCCGAAGGTGTGGGACCGGCAGATCACCCGCAGAAACGCTGCTGAATCCGTGTGACCAGCAGACCGCCCGCAGGCGTGCCACCGAAGGCCGCCTGACTGCCGTGCTTGGGGCGGCAAAAAACATAGAGCTGCCCCTGCAAGTATCAGGGGGTAGCCGTGTTAGTCTGTATCCACAAAAACAACAAGGAGTCCGGTGGCACCTTAAAGACTAAAAGATTTATTTGGGCATAAGCTTTTGTGGGTAAAAAACCACTTCTTCAGATGAAAGTCTTTCACTCCATGCATCTGAAGAAGTGAGGTTTTTTTACCCACGAAAGCTTATGCCCAAATAAACCTTTTAGTCTTTAAGATGCCACCGGACTCCTTGTTGTTCATGTATATACTAAGCCTCAAAATAAAACGTTTTTCTGTTATCGTCTGAACAACCTCCAAAGTATGCAGCTAACCTGCATATTAAAAATCAAAATCAAGTCCAAGTGCACAAAACAAACCATAATAGTTTTTTTCAAATGCCTTGTTTAACACAGGTTACTGTTCTCTTCACACTTGTGGGTTTATCGCTGCTAGAAAATACGCCAAGTGTAGAACCCTGTGCAGTCCATAGGGGTGGCTCGGTACTGACGCCTGTAATGAGGGATTTGCAAAGGGCCACAAACGTGATGCAGCGCCTCTGAAACATGATTCACGCATACACAGGGCAAACCCTCCTACGGGGGCCTGCATGTGTGGTTCAGAGCAGTGGTTCTCACCCTTTCCAGACTACTGTGCCCCTTTCGGGGGTCTGATTTGTCTTGCGTACCCCAAATTTCACCTCACTTAAAAACTACATGCTTACAAAATCAGACATAAAAATCTCACAGCACACTATTACTGAACAATTGCTTTCTCATTTTGTCTGTGTGAAGTTTTAGTTTGTACTGACTTTGCTAGTGCTTTTTATGTAGCCCGTAGTAAAACTAGGCAAATATCTAAAAGAGTTGATGTACCCCCTGGAAGACTGCTGCGTACCCCCAGGGGTACACATACCCCTGTTGAGAACCACATGACTGGGAATGTGACTGTCATGGTGTTGCTGACATAGACTCTAACCTGTGCTCTTTCAAAACCTATAAAATGTGACAACTGCTGTCTGTTTAAAACCACATCTAATTCAGACAGTGTCTCCTGCAATCATCTATTGCATTACAGCATGTCACCTTTGCTAAGTCATTACATGATCTTCATAAATTTAACTGACTTTGTACTCAAAGACACTGGAGCCTCAAATGCCTAATGCCTGTTCGGTGGTGAATAATTAATAATACCTAGCTTTTATATAGTGCATTTCATCAGCAGACCTCAAAGTGCCTTACAAAGGAGGTATCCTTGCTCCCATTTTATGCCTGGCAAGGGCAGTGGCAGAGATAGAACCCAGAGCATCTGAGTATGTTGCTATTCTTTCCACGAGGCTAACATTTTCACTGTTTCTCTCTGCTTTTCCCCTTTAGCTCCCAAAGGTTCTGATTTCTTTACACAAAAGACTGCAATTTTATAGGATTGATATGTACCATTAAAGTGCCCAGCACACTTCAGAAGATGTAGTTGGCTTTAGAGATCCAGTATGTTGGGTATGGGAACTGCGGGAACGGTAAAGGAATTAAAGAAATGTCCAGTAATACACACCTTGGACACCATATCAGCCCTATAACATCAGACCTTTATACACATCTCCTGTCATTTAAATTGCCCTGAAGAACTACTGTGGTGTGTTTTACTCTTTGCTATTTATATTAAAAAATATATTACTATCCTTCATATACATTATTCCACTTGCATTTTTCTCTTTAAAATAATTCTTCCAATATACTTGCATAAATATTTTCCAAGCTGCAAAAAATACATACAGTAAGTGTGACTGTTTCTGCCCATTGTTACCTTTTTGTTGCGTTTAGTTTTGGTAATTAATAGGAAATCATTGAATAGAAAGAGGTAGACATCAAGGATCCTTGTACTTTCTGAGGAGAAAAACAAAACAGTAGCATGATTGTTTTGAGGAACTGCAATTTCTATTCTAAAGCAGATCTTAAGCACATTTTAAGCAGACCTCCAAATGTGGCACTCCACCACTCAATATCTCTTTTGTGTTCTCACACACTCCAGACTTGAAAGGCATTCTGCTTTGTCATTTTGGCCATTCATAATTGTGGCACATTGCAGCCACATTATCATAAAAGACCAGCAGTTTCTCATTGCCAAAATAACTCAGATCATATATCTTTGAACACAGCTACAAAGAGCAGCATGCTGTCGACCAAACAACTCACTTATGGGTCACCAGGGAATATTAACCCTATGGCAACTGCAGACACATAATGAGGGCAAATTCCAGTGTTCATCTGGATCCCTTAAAAATAGTTGTACAAAGTCTCACCCCATTGTGCCTACATGATACAGCTCAGATTTTCATGTTGATGGCATTATAAAGGTCCTTCAGTAACTACACAACGTAGAGTGGACTCAACTTCCATCACTACCTTGGCGGTAAGAGAAGAAATAGTGAAACAAAAGTCTTTTAAGGGCAAGTTATTTTTTATAAGTATGTACTGAAGTCTTCAAGGTGGAGGCCCCGGTCCTGATTGGGGCTTCTAGGTGTTCTAGTAGTATAAACAATGAGTAATCATGCATCAGAAGCAAAGGTGATGGTTTCAAAGGGAAATAGGGAAACCCAAGGATCCTGGAATGTGGCAAACCATTTAGAGCTCTGGGAGTCTGTTGGATCAAATGCCCAGAGGGTGGAGCTTGCACCTCAGTCTATCGTTGGGGCTCCCTCTACAGGTTTCCAACCTGCAGTTGTTTCTTTTTATTTCTTGCATGGTCCTGTCTCGCTACTCTAGTCTCTTCCAGAATCACTTCCTTTCTCTTCTGCAGACCTTATCCTTTCCTGCCCTTTCCTCTTGTCTGTCCCTCTTCTCTCTTACCAGCAATATTCTTATTGTATAACGCTTAGCTGTATTGACTCCAGTCCACACCCTTTCATGCTATCACTGGCCACTCATAAGCCTTTTATATCTGGTGTCTTCACCCCGCCTGTTACTTCTGATGCCCAAGATAGGAGCACTCCAGGACCAGCATTAAATAAAATGTTAACTTCAGAAGGTGTGGTGCCGTTAGGAAATTCCATACTCAGAATGTTTGTCTTGAAATGAACAATCTCTTAAAATGCATTTCTATTCTCAGTGTTACAGGTCAGACTGGGACAGCCAGAACTTTCACTTACAGGCAATCTGGAGAATGGGAAAATAGTTCATTGAGTGCTTGTTCTGAAATGTTTTAGTTTGGAAACGACTTGGTTTATTTCAGGAGGCAACAGCAATAGCTACTAGAGGTTAACGATGTCATGGACTAGCCACTTGTAGGAAGCAGGGCTGGATTAAAGATTTTGGGGAGCCCCCTAACTGAAGTGGGAAGCCTGCAGGGGGAATAATTGGAGGGTGCCCATCCTGCACTTACCCCGCAGTGGCTCCTGTCCTGCACTGGCTCTTGACACAGCGTGCAGGCGGGGCCCTTCCCCCCCCACAATGCCACACCCCACTGCTTCCTGGCCCCGGGGTTTTTGTGTGTGTGTTGTTTTTCCTCTGGGTGGTCAGGTTGCCCCTGAGCTGGGGGCCCTGTGCAAGTGAACCGAGTGCACATTGGTTAATCGGGCTGGCTGGAAGGCTGTGGGAGCTACAATGAGAATCCCCCTTTATCTCATCAGGGATTCAGGACACTACAAACAGTACACCACCAAGTAACATGAGACTCCCCATCTTATTTGTTTAAAACTTACTTTCCTCGGGCCTCTTAAGGCCCAAGTATCATATTCAAGCTCTTGTATAATTTTTGTCATAGCTCCTTCATGCTTAGCAGTGGTATATATTTGATCACATAGTGTTACCTGGATTATACTGATGTACATTTTTTATTGTAAACTCTATCCAGTAGTCTGTCTAGTCTATGTACAGTAGCTAATCTGTTATGTTTTATTCGATTTGTGCTAGGTACTTTTGCCCATCATTGTCTTACAGTTTCTACAGTGGCTGCACCTATTATGTTTCCTTTGATTTTGTGCTGGTGGGGGAAGGTATTGTGAGCTTGAGCAAGTATTTCTTCTACTTATAACAACATAAGGATAATTGATCCTTTGAATCCATTTGCTGCTGGGAATTGAGGTTTTCATTTTGAAGGTGGTGAGGTTTGTGGCCAGCCTGACTTTCAGCCATGAGTCCCAGAGCCGTGAGCCAGCTACTAAGAACTGCATCTTCCACATACCATCCCTAATATTCATATGTGGTACATTATGCTGAGATGGTGTGGCAGGCTCCAGTCGGGATTTCTGGGCCCTTGTCTGTTTGCTTCTGATTCCCAATACTGCTTTAACATAAGGTTTTGATTACACTATTTTAAAATGGTAGGAGGAGACATTTTAGTCATGGAATGTCCAGTGAAGTAAACCTGTTTCTTAGGATGGAAGCTATGATCAACATTTTACTCATTTTCCTTTTGGTTTCAAGGTGTAATAAGAAACAACCCAGTTTCGAGAGAATTATCTCAGAGTAAAAATGCTGGGCACCTCAGGGTGTTGACACTGGGCTTGGAGACACACAGCACACCTCAGTATCAGACTGTGTGTGTTTTTAAATCTGTGTCTTTAGGAGATACTTTCCCATTTTCAGCATCTCAACCTGGTTAGAATTATGTTTATTCATTTTCATCTTGAAAATGAAAAGATCAAGAAATATTGCCAAACCACGCACTCTCTCAGATTGCTTATGTTAGCTAAAAGAAGTTAAGCTTGCATATTTATTTCTGCAAGATTTAGGGACATGCCATCCTATCTGTCTTCAATGTAAATTTCTTCCTGCAAGAAATGTAGATCCTTGATAAGTACCAGTACTTAATCTCATCAGCAGTGGACAGCTCAGGTGATGGGGGTTGCTGGCTGAAAGTTTGGGGATGAGAGGAAGAGCTGGATTAAAAAAACTTGTGCTCTGCCCCCTTCTGCCAAACCCTCCCAAACAATAGCAATGAATTTTTGTAAGTTAAAAAAGAATTGTATTAATTTATGCCTCAACCATTACACCTGTTCTACCACCTTACATTTTCATCTCCCTGTTGCTGGCCTGTGTCTGTGGGGGGAGGAGAAATCTTGGTCTGGTCCCCTCATCCACATTTGATGATAGTTGTGAGGGTAGGAGAAAGGTGAATCACAACTTCTACACCTTATTGTCTTTGCCTCAGTGCCTGGCTGCACTAATCAGGGAATTTTAAACTGAAGACTTTTTTCTCATGCCTAAACCACCACTGAGACCTTTATCCCACCCCAGTGTGCTGTTCTCAGTGCCTCTTCTGTGCTCTGTCTTCCTTGCACTTGGATAAGGACAGGGGTGCTGACGCTGCCCAGTCTCTACCTCACACTCAGGTAGGGATGAGCATGCTCAGCCCCTGCTGCCTCATGCTCAGATAGGGATGTTGACTTATTCATCCAATGAGACAAACCTGCACGTCTTTACAACATGATGCTTGTGCTGCAGCGATACGACGTTGTGTTATGTTGTGCCACAGCAACACAATGTGATGCTGCTGGGATTGACATGAAGGACATGTTCCAATGCTGTAATATACTGCAGCTGGGCAAGATCATGTCACTGGTGGGATAGTCTCAAGAGTCCCCTGTTTCAATAAGCTTTTCCTCACCAGCAGCGGGCACAATCTAGTGTGGTAACACCTTCCTCCTTGAAGACATCCACCAAGGCTAATCCCTTAGAAAAATTGTTTATAACTTAGGAGAGATGAAAAAAATGTTTTTTTTATTCTTTCCTTAATCTTACATATGGCACCTAGATACTAGTAAAGCGATGGATGCATTAGAACTGCTTAGATACCTAGATCAATTACACAATAACAAGGACGCCTTTTTACAAATCAGTCTCAACTTCCTCTGTGTTCCCTGAGCCACAATCCTGAATATCACAATAGTAAACCAGCTCTGAAATTTGGACATTGGCCAGTCAAGCTGATTCCTTCAGCATTTAGCAGGTTGACCATCCAGATGTGACAATAACCAATCACACAGATTACTCTCCTCTTGGCAGTTTAGCTATTTCTCACTCGCTGTATAACATGTTGCAAATTTGTTTTTCTTTGATCCACATTTCTAATTAAGCAGTGGGGCACAGATCCGTGCTGTACTGACCATACAGAATATGTTGCTGTAATGCTGGCACATGAATAAAATGGCATTTACCTGCAAGAGTTAACCTCCCTTCATGAAGAAGCTGTCTATTTGAGGAAGACAAGATGTTTTCACTCATGTTTTCTCTTAAAATATGTTTCAGACACTTGGAAGAAAAAATAGAAAAGAGAATCATACAAATTTGACCTGGAACTGGAAATTGACCAGTTGTTAAGGAGTCTGAGAAATACTCTTCGTATTTGTAGGATGTGCAGGTTTATATCAAACTAAGCATGGCCGACAACTACCAACTTAGCATGGCCAGGGTTTTTTCAGCAATACTATGGATTAAACAAATTTAATTCTTTGAAAATTCAAACTGGGATCATCTTCTTTAGAGTGAATTTAACAGCACTGAACATCAAGGTGAGCCCCACTTAGCAACTGTACCATAATGTCACTTAATGGCAGGCTTCAAAGGCAAGGGGAGGTCAATGGGTCACCTCAGCAGAAAGCAGAACCCATTCTCATGGAAAATTCATATTTTTACATTATTCAAATGCTAACCTGAATTTCTTAGTTTCATCCTGGGAAGTGGGGAAGGTGAACAATTTTGCATGGTTTTACCTCAAAACCAGCTAATAAAGGAATAATAATAAGTAAGATTTGTATCAATCCTATACGATTCTTGGGTTGGGATACTGCTTCAGCTCCCTGGAGTAAGCAGCGTGGATCTCCCATAGATTGTTGGGCCAGGTGACATTCCATCCTTAGAGCCAAGTGCAGTAGAAACCCTTTCCACCTCCCAAAAGACAGACCCTGAACTTCAGAAGGGGAAAGGAGGACTCTGGTTACTGCCAGAAATGCGGCAGCAGGGAACAGTCCTTCTCTCCAGCCCTGAACTACTTGTGTGAGTAAAGCTAAGCACAAAGAAGGTAAGTTTTTCAAGGCTAACAACATCTGTGCACATGTGTCTGCCCAGTGCTTAGCACGATGGAGCCTACTCTTGATTGGGGCATCTACTTACTACCAGAATATAAAAATAATAATAATGTACATCTACATTAGTTAGAATACAGAGATGATTATCATCTTTAGACCACAACACTAAGGTTGGGCAAATGTAGGAACTATATGAAAATTTTCTTCACAGAAAAAGTCCTCAGGCTAACATTTAAATAGTGGTGAATACACTGCTTACCTCTGGGAGAAAGAACCTTTTGTCACGATCCCAAAGTGGAGGCCAAATTATAACCTCTTGCAGCTGCCTAAATTTCTGAAAATTGTCCAGCCATTTTACTTTTCCTTCAAGATCTCCTGAAAAATACAAAATATCAATTATCCCCATGGTTGACAACAAGCTTGAGAGATGTTGAATGCCTTTAACAGTGCTAGACTGCAGTGGAAGTAGAAGGACTCTGGCCTAGACCCTTAAAGATGTTTAGCTGGCTAACTCCCAGTGATTTCAGTGGGAGTTTGTGGCACTCTGTACCTCAAAGCAACACCCCGTAACCCCCATATTCATCACTGTCATATAATTATGATATGTTTTGTACAAAGTATGCCTTGTGAGGCATCATTTTAAAAGTCTTGATCTATTGAATATTAATATCCTGTTGGATTGTATGTGCTATCATTGTATGGGAAGTTATGAAGTTTTGTTACATGTGTGTTACTGAAATATGCTGTGAGGTTGGGAACATCCACAACCAGCCTTTCAGGTACGACTGTGGAGTAGCCAGTCATGCTGACAGCCCATTAAAGAGAATCCACTATCCCAGGAACTGTATACAATGGAGATTTCTCATGGAGAGGGCATATATAATGGAGACTGCTTGACTGATGGGGGCAGACCTTTACATCACAAGCAAACATCTTTTCAGCAAACTGGAAGAAACTATAGAAGAGGGGAAGTGACATCATCACTTGGCCTCATTCCTGCCACAATTCAACACCTGGAAACACATCTGGAGGACAAAGACTTTGAATTGGGGAGTATGGTCCCAGGCTGGAGGAGAGTTCCAGTGTGTGTACTGAAGATCTGTGACCTCTTTGTACCATCTGTCAGGGTGAGACACTGCTTTATTCAAATCCTGTTTAGTTTGTAGCACTCAGACTGCGAATTTATTTTATTTCTTAGGTATCCAACTTTGATCTTTACTCTTACTACTTATAATCACTTAAAATCTATCTTTCTGTAGTTAATACATTTGTTTTATATTTTACATAAAACAGTGTATTTTGGTTGAAGTGTTTGGGAAATCTCAGCCCAGGTTACAAAGGCTAGTGTTTGTCCTCTCCACATCAGGGGAGGGGCAGTCTGGGTAATGAACTTACACTGGCCAGGCTTCTGACCAGGGAAAGACAATATATGCTGGGGGTGTAAGGCTGGAAAGCTGGAGGGAATTGGCTGGAGCCTTTCTATTATTGGTTCATGAGTAGCTGGGAGAAGCATTCATGGAACTCAGTCGGGTGTGTCCCTGCCTGTGGATGTCTGTGTAAGTGTAGTACCTGCCAGAGTTTTGTAGCTTGCCAATGGCATCACAGTGTGAGGGATACCCCAGGTTGGTGGGACAGAGGGCTCAGAGGTCCTACAGTCCAGGTTGCAACCCTAGAACCAGAATTAGCCACCTAAAAACCTTTGAGGAGCTGGGCCTTTGGGGCTTGCAAGGTTGGGCCCAAAGCTTAAATCCCGGCTCTATTGAGGTCAATTGCAAAACTTCTCTTGACTTCAGCGAGGCCAGGATTTCACCCCATGTGTTTAAACAGGTTTTAATACACTGTTGTGATATTTTGGATGTCATATTACCAGTTTGATACTGGAAAAATGTCTGACTCTAAAGATTCACTTACTATTTTGTCTTAAACTTCAATTAAAAAAACTCGATATTCCAAATTGGACTCCAGTAGCATGAGAAAGTTCTTTACTGGTTTAATTAAGGGTAAATTAGCTTTTATCATTTAGGGTCTGATTCAAAAGCCATTGGAATCAATGAGAATCTTTAAGAACAAACTTTAAAAGGAAGGATGGTTTTGTGATTCAAGCACTGGACTGGGACTCAGGAGATCTATTCACAGTGTGTAAAGTGAAGCACGTGTGTTAGTCTGCAGGATCAGGGCCTTAAAGAGCAAAACTTCAATATGACTCCTAATTTTGCATGCAACATTGCAGTGTGCACACACACACTCAGCAAGGAAGGGAACGCTGGAGGTAAAGTTACCCCTCACACCATCCCAGCAAGGCAGGTAAGTTGTAATGTCACAGATAAGGACATGAAGGCAAACAGGCTAAGTGGCCCAAAGCCACTTCCTGATTTGTAATCCTGGGCAGAGATCACTGGTCCAGGCATTCGCCAATGGGTGTATTCACTTTCTATCTATTAGTACTCTGATTGACTTCAGTGGGAGCTGGATCGGGGCACTGGAGAATAAGTTTGTCTTATAACGAGCTTCAGAGCTATCAGATATTTAAAACTGCAAATTGTGGGTTCCAGGAAATGACTGACTGAATAGGTTATTTATGTAAAATAGAATCCAGTATAAAAACCCATCCATTTTTTTTCTGCATAAGCTGGAGAAAGTTTTCCTTAGCTGAGATGGCTCCCTAGGTACCTTACATGTAAAGACTGTCATTCCGAGAAAGGTTGTTGGCATAATATGCCCCTTGTGTGTGGAATTTTATTCTTTTAAGGTTTAAACCCTCCGAATCCTTCCCAGACATGACTCCATCTCAAAGACCTCTTTGTTTGAGATATTCCTTGATTTGTTCCCATTTGTGAACTGCTCTCAGCTGTTCGCATGTCAATGCAAATGATTCTCTGTGAATACAAGTGACTGACTGATTTATGTGCTGTATTACCATCCTGAGGGAAGACTTTGACAATATGAGAATGGTACCAGGCAATTTTGAGAAAAAGAGAAGGACTCAAAGGGATCGCAAAGAGTTTTTCGTGCCACCAATCACATCTTCAAACAGTAAAAAAAAAAAAAACAAAACCCTCATTTACATTTGAACCTCAAGTGCGTAAATCCTCAGAGAAAATGCTAAACAGAGAACTTGACTTTTAATCTCAGCTACTTACGTAAGGACTTTTCCACCTTTTCCTTAATAGAGAGGATGGTGGCTTTCTGTGCTGCATCAGTGCTTCTCTTCCAGATGTTGTTAAGGAGGAGGGGATATCGGGTCAGTCTGTGTAAAGGAGCCACCAGCAGTTCTGGCAGATGTAGTCGTTTGCACTGTTCATTTTGTTCACACCACTACTGAATATAAAGAAAGCCTGTTTTAGGATCTACGAACTCGCGGTGCTTTCTGACAAAGCCGTTAATAAGCAATTAGCTGCATCATCAGCTGACTGAAATGAACTGGGGATCCACTTGTGATGAAGCCAATTCACTTCCCAGTGAAGTCAATGGAAAGGCTCCCTTTCACTTCAAGAGGAGCTGAATCAGCCCCACAGATTAATCTTTGGTATAGATAACTTCACATTTCAGGCATTATACTAATTCCTAAGAATACGTTTCTTCACTGTATCATTTCATCTTATCAAGAAAAATCTCAATCGGGGATTCCTCCAGAGCCATTTCCTCTTCAACGTTCGACTGCTTATAAAAGAGTGAGTTTTGCCCTTAGATGGGTGTCTGTTGCCCCTGGGGGACTCCTGGTGGTACTCGAGCTATTCAGACCCCAAATGCCCCTAGTAGGGGCAGGACACCTGGCTATCACCTTGGAGCTGCCCATAAGAGTGAGCTCATTTTTCAGGTTTAAATAGAGTAAAATCTGAAAGCTGAGCAAGTTTGAAATGATGGTGTCCATTACTTAGTATTTATGTAGTGCTATTGGTCTGTGTGATGCTAAAGTTAAATAAAAGTGGCAGGGCCCTATCCCATGCAGTCTATGGGGGGCTAAATTCGGTTAGTGTAAATCTGGATTAACACCACTGATTTCAGATATGTGCAATGTAACTAAGAGCAGAATTTGACCACTCATGCTCACTTTAGCAGTCAATAAACAATAACTCTTCAAGCTTGGCAAGAGGTTAGGTCAAGTCAATGGAGATACAGCTACATGACAGGGAAAAGCCAAGCCACTAAATGTAGTATTGTTGTGCTAGCCTCCCAGTCTCTCTCTTCTTCCCAACTGGTTTCAGATACAGTAAAACAAAATCAGAGGGGAGCCATGTTAGTCTGGATCTGTAAAAAGCAACAAAGAGTCCTGTGGCACCTTATAGACTAACAGATGTATTGGAGCATCAGCTTTCGTGGGTGAATACCCACTTCATCAGACGTTAGACGCGTCTGACGAAGTGGGTATTCACGCACGAAAGCTGATGCTCCAATACATCTGTTAGTCTATAAGGTGCCACAGGACCCTTTGTTACATTTTGTTTTACTGGAAAAAGCATCTCAAGGGGTAAAAATGACATTTACACCTATGAGCTGCTGTTTTAGTTCCATCCTGTGCACTCAAGGAGATTCTCTTCCTTTCCAGATGGGTCACAGAGATATAAATATGCAAAGAGGGGAAAAGCATTCAAGTGTTCTCCCTCAGGTTCAATGAAAACTCTACCAACTCCCTTCTCACAGGCTCACAAAAACACGCAAAAGCACTACCATGCTTTTTCATTACATTCATGTGTTTGGTGCTGTTAGCTTGGTTTAAACACATGCTTTTAACTTCCATCTGCAAAGAGAATTCAGACTCAGAATGAAGTAATAAAGCACGCATCTTATTCTGAACGTTGTGCTTGTAAAGTCTGATATGACCATGTGAATATAAACATGGCTTCAAATAAAGACAGAGCTTAAGTGACAAAACCACCACACCATCCTCTCCAGTTCACACAAAAGCCTCTTGAATCTCCTGTTCCTCAGGTGTGCCAAAGATTGTGTGTTTTGTATAAGTTTCATGCTATTTGGTGTTCTCATTAAAGCAGCAGCTCCTGGAGTCAAGTGATTATATGAAAATCTCAGCTTTCATTTTTTTAAAAGTAAGTTTTTAGCCCTCTTGGGCTAAAGCTTGAAGATGTGACCTGAACAGATCCTAAAGGCTCAAAAATAAGAAGGGAAATAAAAAGAATCCCATATTTATTATTTTTAAGATCACTTCATTTTTAAACCCATCTTCTGATTTTTGGGGGCCTGACTCATGATTTTTGTATGCCTGAGTTTGGCAATACTTACTCCCTGTCTGCACATGCTGTTGGAGTGGCTGGGTCCTTTCTGGCTTCCACATTTTATGTTTCTATTTTAAATGTTCCTAAGGCTAGCGTGTGAACCTGTTCCTTGCACTGGTGAGCAGTTACTTGTAAGAATAGGCCCACTGAAGCTCACGTAACTACTCATCAGAGTCACCAATGGCAGTAACAGGGTCACAGTCTGGCCCTAAGGCAGCAACCCATGGCATCAAGTCTCAGAGCCTGGGTGGACAGACTCAGACCAGAGGGGTTCTGGCTATCGTGCTAGAAATAGCTGTGGAGACAGCACTTTTAAGATGAGGCTCAGGCTGGAGCTTTGGCTCTGAAGCCCACGCTGCCCCTAGGCTTCAGAGCTCCAGCCCAAACTGCAGCATCTACACAGATAATTTTAGTCCCGAGTCTGTTGATCCAGGCTTGGAGGCTCACTGCCATGGGCTGTGTAGATGGCAACCTAAATCACAGAATCTGAGATTTGTTACAAGGTCTGATCTTTGAGCAGATAACATAAGACAGAAAATCCACAAACCCCTTAAAAATAGGCAGTTATTTTAGCTTCTTCCCTCAGTGTTGGGAAATCCCAAGAGGGGATCATTGCATTAGTTACTCAGTTATGTCAATTGCTTCACTCTCATCCCAGTGTTTACAGATATCACAGGACATTATACACCGGCCAACCCTGCTGCTCCTACCCTGAGATAGGAGGTAACATATGACAGGTTTGGATTAACAGCCCAGCTGTTTGACCTGCCCCGGTTGGAAGCTAGTTCTAACATCTAATAATTCTGTATTTTATAGGTTGCACTAATTGAATGTGCATTAAGATGCAGTTGCCATTGGAAAAGCACTGTATGAATGTAGTGGATGAAAACCTGGTGCCATTGAAGGTGCTCATGTCAATGGAAATTTTGCCTATGACTTCAATGGAGCCAGGATTCCACCCAGTATATTTAAACCTGTGGTATCATTAAAAAAAAAAAAAAAAAGGCACAGACTGTTTTCTAAAATAGAATATAGGCTTTTCCAATTTGTTTTTAAAGACAGGATAGGATGGTTGAAGACTCAACAAGGAGAGCAAAACCAACACTTTACTTTCAGATAGATTCCAAAATCTTCTCTCTGCCTCAGGTTCTCCAAGTAAAAGATGGCTGAGGTGTAATGAAGGCAGTAAATCTGGTGTATCTGGCAGAGGTTACCTTGAAAATACTGCAAGACAAAAGATTTAGAAGTTTAACAAGATTGAAAAAGAGGAATGTCAAAGTGAGGGGCAAAACAATGGGGTAAACAATCTGAGGAAGGAGGGAGGGATAGCTCAGGGGTTTGAGCATTGGCCTGATAAACCCAGGGTTGTGAGTTCAATCCTTGAGGGGGCCACTTAGGGATCTGGGGTAAAATCAGTACTTGGTCCTGCTAGTGAAGGCAGGGGGCTGGACTTGATGACCTTTCAAGGTCCCTTCCAGTTCTATGATATAGGTATATCTCCATATATTACTTTTCTTAGTTTTTATAAGGTACATTTTGCCAGAGATTTGATTGTAACAGGGAAAATCGGGCTACAATAGAGAGTAAACTTGCCAAAGAAAACTACTTTCTTAAAGAATCCTGCCACAACTCTAGCAATTCTATGGGCATCTGCAGTATTGAGACTTTACTGCAGGAAAAATAAAGTAGATGATAAAAAATGCTAGGCTACGGAACAGCTTTGCATAGCCTCATATTTAGGAATGTACTAAGGTATCAACGTGTGTTAGAGGCACTTACAAATTTGGAGTGAAATCTTGTCCCCAGTGAAGTCAATGGCAAACTCTCATTGATTTCAGCGGGGCCAGGATTTCACCCATTGAGTGAAAGAAGAATGAACGTATCTCTGAAGCTCCCATTGGACAGCTTGATTCCTCCTAGTAGATGATTTAGGTCTTTTAGTAAAAGTGGAATGCAACCAAGAAAGCAGTTTCACAAACTTTCTGCACTACATTCAGAGTCCTACTACAGAGCATTTCTGATCATGTTACCTTTGTGAGTACAGAGATGAAATCCAGGGAGGATTCAGATGCAGTGACATGGTCCTTTATAATTTTGAAAAAATCAGTCACAAAACTGAGACTCACCTAGTCAAGGAAAGAAAAAAAAATTAGTTTGTCTGCTCTTCTGAGCTTTATTTTTACCACTAAATCTTTTTAAAGTCCAGATCCTGCAACTGACTCCATACCCAATAGAGCCCTGTACTTGCACGAAGTTCCATTGACTGACTTTAAGTCAGCAGGCACAATCCCTTTCAGAATTATGGTCTAAGTGCTTAAGTTAACCAGAAGTTAAAACAATCCTGTTAAAAACACCCACTTAGGCCTTGTCAAGCACTGTTTAACAAAAATGATGAAACGAGATTACATTTTTCCAATTACATTTATTTTAGAACAGTAGCTACATAATTAATGTGAATATTAAACACAAATTAACATTGGGAATTACAGAAATAAATGCTGTACACTGATCTGATGTGACAGAACACTGTAGATGCAATGTGATTAAAGAGGTCTTCAAACTCATTTGGAAAGTGATTGTAATTTATATTCAACCTTATTTCAATTTCCTGAAGATAATGAAAAACATTTATTTAAAACTGCAAAGGGACCAGAATGCAAGCAAGGCATTCTCCCAAACTGAGTTCTTTAAAAATATTTTCACTTAGATTCTAGTGGTTCTATCTGAATCTTCACATCTTGTACATCCATAGAAAAATTTACTATGAAATCTACATTTACCATGCAGTGGTATCAGGGATCTACAGTATTCCTGTAGAGTCAGAATCGAAAATAACTGCTGTAACTCCAGTACCATAATGAAGTACATTAAAATGCTGGGATTTTAATTTTAACCACTATATTTTGTTTAGCAAATTTGTGGGCCTACTTAGCTTTCGGGGAGTTGCTCGTGGTACAGTATGCATTCTAGCATGTTGGCAAGGTGTATTTTATATATTTCACAACATAAAGTTCTTTTATGGCAAGAGTGTCAGTGTCATTTTCCCCACATTTGACCATAATGGATGTTACTATATTATATACACACGCAAAGATTTAAAAAAAACCATAATGGAAAAAGTATTAAAAACAACACTCAATCATGACTGTATCGTAATCAACCCTCCGGTGTGTTCATCCTGTAAACTGCACATAATTCAACCCCCTCCCTTGTCTCACCCCACAATAGGGCCAGGCAAAGACTTGATGCATGCTTATTCTGATGTTTAGTTTATCCGTTGTTTCTGTAGGGAGGCCAGGGGGAACTGAGGTCATAAGTCTCTTCTTGGAGTAACAATTATTATTTTCAGTATGATGTCGTTTTATAGTGTGACGGGGCATGAATGCCCCGCACTGGGATTGCAGGGATTAATTCCTCTATTTGGGCCGAGGAGGCCATGCCCCCTCGACGCTGCTGGGCATGCTCCAGTTGGAGACCAGGTATAAAAGGAAACAGCCCTGCTCATTCAGGGTGAACCATTGGAGAGGGAGGAGGTGTGCTGCAGGCTCTGCTGAAGGACCGCTGGCACTTCACAATGCGGAGGCTAGCCAGATGGCGGCGACCGATGACCCCAAGGCTCCAGATGCCACAGAGGGAGGAGAAACCATGGGAACCCTGAGACAACAAGCCACGGAGAAGCAGATTGGAAGCAACCCAGGGAATCTTTGCGGGGAGGTGGTTGTAGAACCAGAGACTAGCTCAGCGTGTTTTGGCTGGATCCCTGAGCCGGTGGTGGGCAACCCTGCTACTGACAGGGCCCTGGACTGGGACCAGGTGGAGAGGGAGGGCCCGGGTTCCCCTAACCTGGCTGCCACCCACCCTGGGGTGGCGGCCCGTCTCACCAGTTCTATTGACTCTGGCCGCCAAGCTGCAAAGCCCTGATCGTGAGGGCAGCTCTATTGACTCTGGCTGTTAGGCCACCCCTCCCTGATAGAGAAGGCGAGTATATTGACTTTGCCTGTTAGGCTGCACTACTCTGGGACCCAGAGGGGTCACTCAGACATGGCCGTGGGGTTATAATGACCCTTGCCCCATCCCAAAAGGGGATGGAGAATGCATGACCCACGACATACAATAACATCAAAGGGCTCAGACTATATAGAGGCCCAGTGGGCTAGGCACTGCATAAGCAGAGTAAAAATCAGGGCCTTGTCTTGAAGCAATTACACTCTAAATAGACAAGAAAGATATTGGGTGGGGGAGGAAACACAGACACAGAGAGATGAACTGATTGGGCCAATGTCACTCAGCAAGCAAAATGGCACAGATGGGAGTAAAATCAACATCTCCTGACTGTCAGTATCTACTAGCTCATACTGCCTCTCACCAATAGAGCTCTAATAATAATACTTAGCCCTCTGTGTGTTCAAGCCACTGTGCGGACACTGATTAATCTTTGCAATCCTTATTAAAGAAGGCAAACACTATCTGTGCTGGTAGAAGAAGAGCAACAAAAATGAGATGTCAATGACCATGGGAAGTGTAACTTTGAGGAGGAAAACTGCAATGCACAGTTTTCTTAATATAGTAGCATTTGATCTTAGTGCTCATCTTCTGTAGTGCTCATTCACTAATGGAGTCAGAAACTGTTCCCAAACGCCACCCCCTATTCAGTCAGAGTGATGTATTTGCTCTTATACCAATAATTTTGTATTCAGTGAAAAGAATCAGTTTGGAAATAATTTCTTCTGTCTTATGTGATGCTGTCAAAGGTAGGACAGAGTTTTGTTTGCCATTAACGCCGGGTAACAACTATTTCAGCTTGAAGGAATGCCAGGTATGATCAGTTGCAATCTTGACTAACTTGTCTTGGCATTAAAATGCCTTGCAGAGAATGCTGTCCTTGCAAAATGGAGATCTTAGGCCAAGTTTTCTGCTTTGCCGAGCTTAGCACCACCCACCCTGAGTGTAAAGATCCCTGAGTCTTTTCCTGGCCCCAGCACAAGTCAGAGCAGTGTAGGGACTACTTTAACTTGCACACGTTGGAAAAGAGTCCCCAAGGAGACTGACCACCAGCTGAGAATAGACAGAGCACAGAGCACTCCGGGTGTGTCTTCTCTCCACCTTGCCCCAGAAGCTGCAGGGTGAGTAGCACATGAGACAAGCATGTCACCTGGGGAATTCCTAGCTGGGGAGATGTGGGTGGTTTCTGTTCCCTTTGTCCTTATGGAGTAGCACAAAGGGACCATAGTGTAGCAGACACTTCATGTCTATGCACTTGTTTGATACGGGAAATTCACTGTTGTATGGATCAGACTGTTGTGATTGTTCTGCCCTAATGTTTGTATACTGAGGACTGCCAAAACCCATGATTTAACAAGACTCTATTTGAAAGAGCTAATTCCAAACTCGTGTTATGACATTTACTTCAAAACAGGAAACAATCAGACTACAGCCATAACCAAAACTCAAATGGCTCTATGCCTGTTCATGAAATCATTTGGACTGATGATGCCTCATCCAAATTGTTTTGCCAAAGAGAGAGGGGGAAAGTGTCCTTAGGGTCAAGTTCAAGATACAGACACTGAAATCTGGGTCTGGCAATTCTTTGTGTTCCTCTTTTTTTTAATTATGCTTCAGCTTTTGATCTAAATGAGATTTCTTTTTTTCCCCTCACCTGGTTTAACTCCTCCAAGTTTGCAAAAAGTCCCCACAAATCCACATCCACGAGGAACTCATTGTTTTGCAGGTATTTTAGCGTATTCACAAATATCTTTAAAAAAAGACAATAAAGCCATATTATTTATTATCTGTATTAATTCAACATTAACAAACCAATTAATTTGCAGAGGGCAGATAGATTTACCATATATTCCTTCATAAGCCGTAATTTGACTGGCAGACTACAAAATGGCTGGGCTCACACCATTTAGGAGCAAGTCTTTCATGGCCTGCACAAAGCCTAAAAATAATGGGTTTTGGGCAGGAACTATGCAGTGACTGAAGTGAGAGAATCCGTACACAGCCAGCCCACTGACTGCAACGTAGCCCCATCATGGCAGTTATTCTATTCTGTGGTCGGGAATGGGGGCTGAGGCCTCTTTAGACCTGGTGGTCATGAACCCTGTCCTCTAACCTAGGCCCACCTCAACTCTTTCCGTCTACCTCCAGGTTGCTCTGTATGCTCCAGCATGGGGGGGGTGGAAGAGTGCCACTAAGCAACTGAATGGCTGTAGGGCCAAGGCTTTGAGAGGCTGGGTGGCTTGTTCAGTTTCTCCTCTTTTAGGGTGAATTTCAGTGGCGCTGAATGAATACTGAATACATTACACACTTGCTGCTGTAGCTTGGCTCTTTGGGGGTTGCACTGACTTACTGTGATTTCTACCAAACAATGGCCCCAAAGCAGCTAAAAATGAGCTGAGAAATATAATTTATTTCATAGAAATGGCTTTATGTGAAAACATGAATAAAATGCCTACCGATGTTGCCCAAGGTGCTAGGGGAGGGGTGAAGAGAGTGAATGCTGATGCTTATCCCTGCATTGGTCTAGCTGCCATGAACTAATGATCTGAGAGCCTGAGAAAAAAGCCACTTGAGGAGGAAACGCTCCATAGTCTCAAATCTCGGCTGAGCTTAATTAGAACAAGGGGAACATTTAATAGTGAGAAATATTTAGAGCAGCAAGAAATAAATGGAACTGTGAGAGTTGCCAAACTCTTTCATAAGCACATTTGTTTCCGCTGCTGGAGGATAATTAAAAACGGGGATGGGAGGGATGGTAGGGGGGAGGGGAGGCTGTATCATTTGTGAGCCACACAGGGCCTACTACTGTATCTACCTGTCTTTCTCTCTAGGTTCTTACTCCTCACTCATCACCATGGAGTCTGCGTGCCTTGTAATACCCCCCGCCTAGCAGGAGAACCGCTTGCAGTTAGCTGAGCTCCTCAGCGATCCTCTACCACTTCCACTCTTTAAACAAATGTTTCTAGATGGCAGGACACTTTCATCCTGGCTTTTCCCAACTGTCCCATAACCACCCTCTCCCCATTTCTGACCACCATAATGGAGCTCTCTGTGCTCTTCCTCATCCACCTGACTTTGAAGCATTTTTTTCTATAACTAAATGACCTTTTCAGCATGAAACATGCTTTTTAAAAATGCTGTTCCTCCCTGGACCCTATCCTCCTTCCTTTGAGAAACCAGTGGTAGAGGTGGCGAGAGAGAGAGAGAGTGTGTGTGTGTGTGTGTGTGTGTGTGTGGAAACCCTCTTGATAGATCTTCCTTTATCACCTATAAAGGGCTACTGCGTGGCCTAACTGTCAGTCATGCAATCTTACCACAGCTTGTTCAACTTTGAAGATGCTCCTAATTTTCCTCAGGATAAGGTTACGTTTGATTTTATTTTTTCTGCTGGGTGGAAGGAGAGCTTGAAATACTAGAATTACTGCAATACTAGAATTTTGCATTTTCAGGTTCTAGTCTGGATAACACAACTACAACCCGTTAGTCCTCTTCAAGCTAAGCTATTAAAAGCCAGGAGTACAAAATGAAATGGGCTAGCAATAATGGAAAGTATAGCATTATGAGTCTGAAAGGGGGAGTTGAGAGAGAGTGAAAGACAGACTAAAATGGCCTCTGATCAGGGCCAGCTCCAGCATTTTGGCCGCCCTGAGTGGCAAAAAAAAAAAAAAAAAAAAAAAAAAAGCAGCCGCGATCGGCTCTCCGAGAGGGACCCGCCGCCGATTTACTGCCAAAGAGCCGGACGTGCTGCCCCTCTCCATTGGCCGCCCCAAGCACCTGCTTGCTGCGCTGGTGCCTGGAGCCGGCCCTGCCTCTGATACTACTGGGAGTACAGAACGCACTGAACCAAGAGAGATTGATGCAAAACACTGAGAAGAGGCACACAGAGGAAAAGATTTCATCAGGATGAAACGAAAACCAGAGAATTGTGGAAACAGGTTTAGAAAACAAGACACGAGGAGCACAAAAGTATACAGCACAAAAGTAGAAGTAATTTCCATTGAGATATAAAGGAGAGGTTATAGATGACTTTCTTCTTGCCCCATTGACAGCAGGACAAGTCCCATGTTTAATCTCCTGGAGAAATAAATCCAAAGTTACCATCTTGAGAACCAGTAAGCGATCCAGAAAGTAACTGCATTCACTTGTAAAAAGTTCCCACGTAGCTTCTTCTTTCCTCATTTCTAATGGATCATCAGTGTCTTTCTCCTCAGTCTGTTGAGCCATTATCATTTCATGCCAAGTTTTATTCTATTGATTGGAGGAGGGGGCAGGGGAAGGAAAAAACCTTATACATTTCATGCAAAATAGCTGACTGATTCATAAACTGCTGCAATCTTTATGCAATGTATTAAAATATAATATAAATAATAGAATCAGATAAATGAAAGGCTTCGAGAAGTCATCAAGTGCAGCCCCCTGTGCTGTGGAAGAACCAAGTAAACCTGGCCTGGATAACAACAGTTCTCAGCCTTTGTTTGGATGTTTAATAGTTAAAAAATAAAAATCTTGACATTTTACTCTTGAGTATTACAAAGCATATATATAATAATAATAATGCAGAATAATAATAGCACCTTCCATCCAAGGATCTCAGGGCGGTTTGCAAACATTATTGAATTTAACCTCACATCATCCCTCTAAAGCAGAGGTGTATTATTATATCTGTTTTTCAGATGGTGAAATCAAGGAACAGAGACCTTCACAGAGTATCTACACTGCAGCTGGGAGACAGCCTCCCCATGTGGAGGGAGACACTCGAGTTAGCTTTGCTTGAGCCAGCACACTAACAATTGCAGTGTGGTCATTGCAGCATGGGGAGGGGTTCGGACTAGCCCGCCGAACTCTGACCCACCAGCTCAGGCGGCTTGAACTCGGGGAGTTAGCCTGAGCCACTTCCAAGGCGCAACATCCACACTGCTATTTTTAGGGTGTTAGCTTGAGCAAAGCTAGTGTGACTCTCTCCCGAGGCTGGGAGGCATGTTCTGAGCTGCAGTGTAGACATACCCTAAGTGACCACGGGCACATGAAGCCTGACAGATCTGGGCATAAATCCCAAATTGCCTGACTCCTAGACTTCTGTCTTAACCACAAGACTAACCACCTTCTGTTGTAACAATTGTACCCTAAATTTATATACAGATTCTGCATGTAGATTGCCTATGTCGATTACTGGCATGGAAAAGATTAATTTTAAAAGGGACACAAAGAAGGGAAAAAAGTTTTAAGTCCATTGGAAAGGACTATCAGTGTAATATACAGAGTATTGCAGTACCTTAAAACTGTGAAACTCGTATCCGCTGCAGTCTGTGATCTTAATGGTTGAAAGACAGTTTTTCAGATCAGACATTTGCTTTTGTTTGTCTTTACTCTGTTAAAAGATAAATTCTATATGTTATAATTTAAAGAGGTAAATAATATGCTTATTAGCTTCAGTAATTTTGTTTTAATCTGCAAGGACCTCACCCTAATGTTTGGTTTCTTTGCCAACCCACGTACACATAGCCAGTGAAAGGAGTGTAGATGCGGCGCTGTCATTTGCTTCTACATATTGGATATGGATAGGAGCCAATGTCAAGGTGGCTCTTTGGCACAATGAGATTGAGTTGTACAGTGCGGTAGTCTTTAACTGTTGCTAACCCAGAATATCACAAGTGATAATGGGCTATTCTCAAAACCCATCTAGGAATAAACTCAGCTTACTTTGCTCATGCAAAAATCAGTGATATGTGACCAGGAAATCTATGAGGGTAAAAAAAATTTCAAAATATTTTAATAAACTACATATTTAAAGTGACACTGTCTGGTCAAATTTGCCATAACATTTAGGGTGCTTTTTTGTGTGTGTAAAAATAAGATTTTATGAACCCTAAAAGAGATTTTTCCATGAAATGAATAATAATAATAATAAAAGAATCAATGGAATTTTTAAAAAACAAACAAACATTGCTTGCAGCATTTGCACACCAAACCTCACAGCATTATGCTTAGTGCCACAAATATTTTAGTGTTTCGAAGTGAATGTTGACTTGACTGTGTTTCATATTTGCTTTCAGAGATCATTTGGGGGCTTGTACTTAATACTCTCAAAAATGAATTTTAAGGTGAATGCTGGAATATTTGCCAAAAGCACCTTTTGAAATGTGTATTTCATTATAATATTTGAAATTCACAGTTTGATCTGTGACGGTCAGTTCCATAAGATGTTCTATCAGTGAGCAGAAACAATATTACGTGCATTTTCTAATTAAGGCACTGATCCTGCAAACACGTAGGCATGTGGTTAACTTTTACGTCCATGAATAATCCCAGTGAACTCACTTTTGAGTGAACATCAAAATTAATAACAAATGTTTCTTGCAATTTGAATAGCTTGTTTGAGTTTGTTGCAAATTTTAAACATTTGAACCTCAAAATTCTCAGTCTCAGGTTACAATCCAACAAATATTTATGCACATGCTTAACTTTCAACATGCAAATAGTCCCATTCAAAAAGAGCCAAATGTAAGCGGTGTGGTCCTGGCACACTAAAACCATAATAATGTAGCCAATTATTTATGTCTTTAAAGAATTAACATGTGAATAATTTATTTACCTTTAAACAAAGTAAAGACAAACAAAAGCAAATATCAGATCTAGAAAATTGGCTTTCAACCATTAAGATTACAGAATGCAACAGATATCCGTGTCACAGTTTTTACTAAGGTATTGAACTCAAGCAGACCACTCTGAGGTTAAGCTATATATGCATTAGTGTTTGCAGGATTGGCACCTATAACTGTAAGGATTATAAAGTGAAAGTGAATAAGGAAAAGTTATTTACTTGTTCCCATAATATAAGAACTAGGGGCCAGCAAATGAAATTAATGGGCAGCAGGTTTAAAACAAATAAAAGGAAGTTCTTCTTCACACAGCGCACAGTCAACCTGTGGAACTCCTTGCCTGAGGAGGTTGTGAAGGCTAGGACTATAACAGGGTTTAAAAGAGAACTGGATAAATTCATGGAGGTTAAGTCCATTAATGGCTATTAGCCAGGATGGGTAAGGAATGGTGTCCCTAGCCTCTGTTTGTCCGAGGGTGAGATGGATGGCAGGAGAGAACCTGTTAGGGTCACTCCCTCTGGGGACCTGGCATTGGTCACTGTCAGTAGACAGGATACTGGGCTGGGTGGACCTTTGGTCTGACCCAGTATTGCCGTTCTTATATTCTTATGATTTTGAAGTTAAAATACCTAATATTTGCAACAAACTCTCACATGCTATTTGATTGGAGATGGAAATATTTGTCAAGAAATTTGTGAATAACTTTGACAAATACAACTGAGAATTTAGTTAACAGAAAAAGAAAGACATTATTCAGTGCAAATTGCTCACTCATACTTAATTATGAGAGCAGGAAGGTGAAATTGACTAACTAAAAGTGAAATTTACTCATCTATTTTCATTATCCAAGCTGCCAGGAAACCAGTGAATAAATAAAAAACCTAAGCAGATAAAAGTAAAATAAATGTAAAGTATTTACAATTTTTTAGTGGTTTAGTTGTGGTTGGCAACCTAGAAAGGAAATTAAGGTGGTCTTTTTTTTTTAACGTGATTATTGACCTGTTCAAATAAAGTTTCAATCTGCATCTACAGTGGTGTAACAGAAATCAGCTTTCCCTTAGAGTTCAACTTTACCCTAGACAGAGAAGTACATTTACAGTGTATGTGTGATTTAATAACAATAAATATGATAGATTTCTACAGTGCTTTTACTGCTCTGAGGGAGCAAACAAGTTTGAAGCCTCATTAGCTACCATAGCAGCATAGGAATCTGAATTTGGTTTGAACCTCCTACAGTGGAGTCACTAATGAGAATAATTATATAGACCATTTATTACCATCTGAAACCAAAGAAAGTGAATGTTATGGTAACTACTGTATTGCTACTAAAGAAACAAAATGGGACAATGAGCTGATATAAACAAGGATACAGAAATTGTATCTCCTATGGAAAAACATTTTCATAGTTTAGTCATTTATTTATGTGAAAAAATATATGCACATACTGAAACAGTACAGAAAATATGGGATCCTCATCATTTTCCTGGTTTAATAATGCAAGCCATATATTCAGAAATATTTATTTTAAACAGTTTGATAGCATCTGGTATTGGAGCTACAGGAAGAATTTTTATTCCCCATTGGTATTTGGGTGGTGGATGGCGGGGAGGAGAGGAGAATGCTTCAGAAGTTTTTCAAATGAAGTATCATTGATTTATTTATTGAAAAAGCCACTCTGAAACTTGTCTGCACTTGTTTCATTGCTTTGTCCTAATTTCTTAAATCCCACTTATGCCAATGGGATTTAAGCACATGCTTAATTGCCCTGCTGAACTGAGGTCTAAATTGACAAGTAAACAGGAATGTTTGTGCTCATGCAGGGAGAACAAAATGAGAAGAAACTGTTAGCTCCAGTGGCGCAATGGGTTAGCGCACAGTATTTATAGAGCTGTGCTGTGTGGAGTGATGCTGAGGTTGTAAGTTCAAACTTCACCTGGAGCACTAGTTTGAAGGGAGGGATAGCTCAGTGGTTTGACCATTGGCCTGCTAAACCCAGGGTTGTGAGTTCATTCCTTGAAGGGCCTATTTAGGGATCTGGGGCAAAAATCTGTCTGGGGATTGGTCCTGCTTTGAGCCGGGGGTTGGACTAGATGACCTCCTGAGGTCCCTTCCAATCCTGATATTCTATGATTCTATGAAGACATGGCTCAAAAGTTAATCACCTTAGCCTAGATCCTAGTCCATGTGTAAATAAATAAATAGTAATAAAAAAGATGGAGAAAAGTTGTTCTCTCCTGCCACAGAGGGCAGGACAAGAGGCAATGGGTTCAAACTACAGCAGAGCAGATTTAGATTAAATCTCAGGAAAAAACTTCCTAACTGTAAGAGCAGCAGGACAATGGAACAGACGAGCCGCGGGAGATTTTCAAAAGGAGGCTGGAGAGCCATCTGTCTTGGATGGTAAACACAACAAATCCTGCATCTTGGCAGGAGTTAGACTAGATAAGCAGTTCTCAACTCAGGGGCTGCACACAGGTTTCAGGGGGTCCGCAAAGCAGGATCAGCATTAGACTCACTGGGGCCCAGGGCAGAAAGCTGAAGCCAGAGCCCCGCCACAGCAGGCCTGAAACCCAAACCCAAGCAATTTAGCTTCCTGGGGCCTCTTGCGGCATGGGGCCATGGGCAGTTGCCCTGCTTGATACCTCCTAACGCTGGCCCTGGCTTTTATATACAGAAAAGCAATTGTTGTGGCACAGGTGGGCCGCAGAATTTTTATAGCATGTTGGGGGGGGGGGCTCAGAAAGAAACAGGTTGAGAACCCCTGGACTAGATGACCCTTGCGGTCCCCTCTAACCCTATGATTCAATGTGGGTACATGGGTCTGCCTGCACACATCAGCTTGCAAGGTCCGGGCCCTACTAAGTATACCAAGGAAAATAATCATCTTGTTATGGGAATTTTTGTAGGAAGTCAGAACAGATTCATAAACTCTGTTGCAGCATGACGCCACTGGTAAAACAACCTTGACTAACATTAGGAAGTTGTCACAGAGAAAACAAATACTTTACAAAAATATATTGCCTGTTAAAGCTTTATATATTAACGATAGGAACCAAATTTAAATAGAAAAGTAAAATAAAAAAATTAGGGAAAGGCCATTTAATTCTTACCAAACCATCCCATTTCTATATTTTAAATGGTATTTCTAAAGCATAGTCCAACTGAGGGGTTGAAGCTACTGCCCTTACGCATGTGAATTCCCACACGCATTTCAAGGAGGTTAATCATACAAATGAGGGAGTGGGATTCAACTCCTATTTTATAATATTTTGGCCCCATTTTGAACATTTCAAGTATATGTGCTGCCATGTACCGTGTAAGGCTAGAAGGGACCATTAAGAATATCTAGTCTGACCTCCTGCATAAGACAGACCAGAGGATTTCACCTTGCAAATATATGAACTGTGAAATATTTGTTGGTAAATGTCATGAACATACAGCTAAGGGTAGCATAAAATCCCTCCTTTACCTGTAAAGGGTTAAGAAGCTCAAATAACCTGGTTGGCACCTGACCAAAAGGACCAATAAGGGGAGAAGATACTTTCAAATCTGGGCAGGAAGGTTTTTGCTTTGTGCTGTGTGTGTTGTTGTTCTCTCCGAGACAAAGAGAGAGACCAAGCAAGTAATCCAGCTCCTACTGAGATGATACATCTAATATTACAGAAATAGTAAGTACCGGTAATAGCAAGGAAATGCGTTATATTATCTTTTGTTTTAGCTTGTGAATTTTCCCTATGCTAAGAGGGAGGTTTATTCCTGTTTTTGTGTA